ATCAGAAGCAGCATCGAAAAGTAGGTTTGTTTTTTTAATCCATTTTCGAAAAAACGACAGTTACCAAGTTTTACCAGTTTTGCTACGTTTTGAAATGTACTGTAAATCATATTTGATTCAGTATATTTTAACAGGAGTAGGCTTATAAGATCTGCAAAATTACATTTTAAACGCTGAAAAACGCATTTTTCAAGTCGCTCATTTCTAATTACGTTTATAATCCCGTGTATAAAATGAATGACGATGATCTTCATAAGAGAGCACACTGAACACCGTGTGCGTCTAAAATACTCTAAAATACTGTTCTACTTTCGGTAGATTCAAGCTTTCACCGTCTTCAGCTTCTTCATCAACAGTTTAATATTAATTTATTAGAATAACACTCCGGTTTCTATCTTAGACTTTCACTTAGTGCACTAACATGGAGAAAATCTCCTGTTGTAATTAGAGTTGGTAATCCGTCCTCCCTCCCACTACCAAATTTCCTGTCCGATCAGATATTAGTGGATAAAACCCTAATTTTTGACGTGGCCCCGGAATCAGCTTAATTTCAGCCGTTTATGTTAAGGCTTCTGCTTTAGTGGATGATGAGGCCTTTAGTACAGTATGTTTATGGAACAGTCATTTTTTAAAAACTGCACCCAAATCAATCAAACTCCCCTTGGTTTCCCTGAGGAGTGAAGTCTCTCAGGTGCGACGCGACGGGACACGTTGCACACACCCTTCTGCACATCTGTTGATTAAGAAACTAGCCCTTAACACGCTATTGCCTTTCACCCTTTTGGAGTGTAAAACAGTTAGAGGATATCTTGATACATGCTCATCAGATAGGATTATCCTGGATTAAACTAATCAGTCAATGTTTCTCTGCTCATTATTTCCCAGAGAAGATTTTCAGGCGATTCTCCACCGCCAAGATTATTAATCTCTTAAAGAGCGTAACATCAAAAAATCGCTTTTTGCTCTAATTTTCTTCTGCTCCCCACATCACATGTAGCGTGCTGTCCGAACAGACGGGCCACGTGCCCCCGTTGCGTTGTACATCCCAGGCCTGGGGGAATTGGAGAGCTATCCACTATGCTATCACAAAAGCACAAGGAATGGTTCCATAAGGGTCTTGTCTGAGGAATTAGATCAATTTAAACTCTTGTATGGCTCGTCACTTACAAACTGAGAGTGCAGCAAAGTACAACCAAGATCTCATGTCCGTTTTGTAGAGCTGTTTCATTTTCATTCTTGAAGCCTTTATTTTTCCCCTTCCTTAATATACTCGTGTTTAAAGCCCATTGCTTTCCAGAATTCCCCTAGTTTACCTCGCGGTTTTTAAAATATAGCAGGTTGGGATCCCCAAGAGACTCAGCCCGGGGACGCTAATGATGCCGGTGTAGTTTTCATTATATATGAATTAAAAATATGATTATAGATCATGTTGATACATATTTTAAATATAAATGTAAAATGATACGTTAGTGTTGTTGTTTACAAATAACCTTGAATAGCAGCATGCAGGTCATTCAGTAACTCCTAATGAACAAACAGAGTGCTATCACTTCTCTCGGTGTCGCACTTCATGTCTTCTCACACTATGGGAGAACACAAGGATTGTGCAAGTATATGCCCCTCCCATCACCTACTGTACTTCTGCCACAATTGTGGTCTCTAAGAAATTCTCCTGAAACCTTGTACTCAATGATAAGCAGTTCAGTCTTCACAGATGTTTAATCTGTAGTACTGCTGGAAGATGTTGTGCAATTAGAGGTCAAAATCAATGCCTAAATGGATTACAATGTTTGACATTGTCCTCTTTTTCTTATTTTGCATAGAAAAAGACCTTTAAATACATATTGACCCAATTCCTAGAAAGTCAAACATGCGTCCACTCATTTCCACACAAAAATCAACAAAGTGCAATTTTCTGCCAACTTCAAACTGATTTATGTCAATTCTGCCTTTTTGTAATCTCTTATATAATGAAACCATATGACACTGTCATTTAGATTGGAAAGAAAGGAGATGCCTGCATGTAGTTGTGAAAATAAAAAATGGTTAATGTAACATATGAATGCTTGCATGCTTGCCAACCAGAATTGGAAAGTTCCTTTAATTCCTTACTGTGATTTTGAACATGAGCCTAACCTTATGTTTTAATTCAGCTGGTGGATTATAATTATACCAAGAAAGGATTTATCGATTACTGCAGATAAATAATATTCTTCCAGATTAGGGTTAGAGCCCTTAGTTCTTTGCTGATGCTCATCCTGATCCTGGATTGCGAGCTTTACTTATTTTTTATTCGTGTGTATCTATTTTTCCTGTTATGTTTTGAAATTAATTATTCCTCTGTGTACAAACAATTCTACTACGTTTGGTGAAAAATATTGGGTTTCCAACTTGACCTTATACAATTTTGTAACAAAACCTTAATAGAAAATGAACAAAAGTCTTGTCAAAGTAAGAGTGACAGTAAATGTCCCTGGACATTCATTCTAGCATCACTGTATGTTCACCACTGTTGTGGGTTTTGTTGCATGGTCTGAGTTACAAAACGTCCTGCTGAATGCAAAAGGCAAAAACGAACTGTCCAAGTTCCAAGACAGCACTTGAGATTTTTTATTTTATAATGAACTGAGCACAGATGGCACAGTGGTGCAGCGGCTAGCATTGCTATCTGTGTGGAGCTTGTATGTTCTACCGTGTTCAGTTGGGTCTTGTCCAGGTGCACCGGCTTACTCCCACAGTCCAAAGACATACTGCTCGGTCCATTGGCTTCTGGGAAAAAGCGGCTCTGGTGTGAGTGTGTTCCTGTCTGCCCTGTGATGGACTGGTGTCCTGTCCAGGCTGTATCCTGCCTTGCATCTGTTGTATACTGCCATAGGCTCTGCGTTCTCCATGACAGTCTATTGGATGAAGTGGTTAGAAAACGGGTGGATAGACGAACTGAGCACACAGCCAACTGTGAACGGTTTCCTTTATCTAGCATTTTGTATATTTTGCAGTATTTATCGATAATACACCTAAATTAACATTTGAAGTTAGTAGGGTGATCTGTTTTTTTCTGCACCTCATCTTGGCTGTTGAGGCTGCCTGCCACCTGTTCTCGAACTGAAACCACAAAATGTAAAAATAAAATGTTTCTTCCTTTGTCTTTCAGACTCTGATACGGATGACTTTCACTGTCTTGACTGAAACAGCACTGCAGACCTATAGCAACAGAGATCCTGAGCTGAACCAGCAAGTTTGTTTTGCGAAGCCAATGTACAGTAGCATCAAGCATACAGTATCTGTTCCATAGAGCATCAGGTGAGAGAGGGGAACATCAGCATTAAAAGTGGCTTTATGCTGACCCTTTAGAAATGATCACCAGCATCCAAGTGCCCTTAAGGGACACTGAGGCATAATGGGCTTTGCTTTGATAAGAAGAGAGTTATAAGTTTAGCAAAATCTCTATGCACAACTGACTTTTTAAAAGCATCTTAAACATTGGAATAGAACAATTTAATCCAAAATT